TGTCCAGCACGCTGGAAATTTCTTCTGTGTCCAGCCTGTAACATGTCTCCCCCATCCCCTGCAGGCCCATCACCTATTCGAGCTGCTCAGCCTCCAGCATGCTTTTGTCACCGAATTCGGCAAAGTCGTCGGCTGCGTCACCCGGAAGGAGGTAAGTCGCCCCAATCATCCTCATTCTCTCACCCAATGAATGGAAGAGGGCGCCACTATCAAAGTGTAGGCTGGAGATGGTGGCGCCCTCTTCTGTTTATTCACAAAAAGTGCATTAGGGTCATGCACAGCCTGGATTTGAGGGGCTGCAGCCATCTATGGTGACTAATCTACACTTTGATGGTGGCGCCCTCTTCTGTTTATTCCCAGTAAGTGCATTAGGGTCACGCTAGACCCGGATCTGAGGGGCTGCAGCCATCTATGGTGACTAGTCTACACTTTGATGGTGGCGCCCTCTTCTGTTTATTCCCAGTAAGTGCATTAGGGTCACGCTAGACCCAGATCTGAGGGGCTGCAGCCATCTATTTGGTGACTAGTAGTCTACACTTTGATGGTGGCGCCCTCTTCTGTTTATTCCCAGTAAGTGCATTAGGGTCACGCTAGACCTGGATCTGAGGGGCTGCAGCCATCTATGGTGACTAATCTACACTTTGATGGTGGCGCCCTCTTCTGTTCACAATAAGTGCATTAGGGTCACGCTAGACCCGGATCTGAGGGGCTGCAGCCATCTATGGTGACTAGTCTACACTTTGATGGTGGCGCCCTCTTCTGTTTATTCCCAGTAAGTGCATTAGGGTCACGCTAGACCTGGATCTGAGGGGCTGCAGCCATCTATGGTGACTAATCTACACTTTGATGGTGGCGCCCTCTTCTGTTCACAATAAGTGCATTAGGGTCACGCTAGACCCGGATCTGAGGGGCTGCAGCCATCTATGGTGACTAGTCTACACTTTGATGGTGGCGCCCTCTTCTGTTTATTCCCAGTAAGTGCATTAGGGTCACGCAAGACCCGGATCTGAGGGGCTGCAGCCATCTATGGTGGCTAATCTACACTTTGATGGTGGCGCCCTCTTCTGTTTATTCACAGTAAGTGCATTAGGGTCACGCAAGACCCGAATCTGAGGGGCTGCAGCCATCTATGGTGGCTAATCTACACTTTGATGGTGGCGCCCTCTTCTGTTTATTCACAGTAAGTGCATTAGGGTCATGCAAGACCTGGATTTGAGGGGCTGCAGCCATCTATGGTGGCTAATCTACACTTTGATGGTGGCGCCCTCTTCTGTTTATTCACGGGGGGGATAGCATGGGGGTAAATAATAATAAAACCTGACAAGGGGGTCTAACTTTATAATGTGATTTTCCATTTCAGATGGGAAAAGCCATCGAGGATCTCGCCAACCCCAAGTAATGGCGCCATCTGATGGCCGGAGGAGGACTCTTTGCTTTATATTGTCTGTGGAATCCTCAAATGTCACTGAATGTTGATACATTTTATACACTCCAATCCCTCCATCATGGTACCGCCCCCAGGCTTAACCCCGTATGTACCGCCTCCATGCCGGCCCTTGGATTCATTCTTCACTCGGGACAAAGTGCCCCAAAAACCCCTACAAGGGGCGGGAGCCAGATTTCCCCAACGTATATTTGCAGCAAGAGGGGTGAGACTGCAACCCAGAGTCAGTTTATAGAGGTTTGGGTCAAGGGGGGGGAATTCTCATCTGTAGAAAGTAGATACAGCCAGTGCCGGGACAAGGTCATCCAGCGCCCAGGACAGACTGCCCCCCCCCCCCCCCTCGCCCCTCCCCCGTTCAGCATTTGCAAGGTGAGGGAGAGTCTACGCCCAGAAGTCATCACTTGTCAAAGTCACTCCTGTCAGCCTTGTAACAGAAGGAAGGCGCCCCCTACAGTACACCATTGTGCCCGGGGCGGCCGCCCCTCCTGCCCACCCCTTGTCCCAGCCCTGCATACACGACCTGATCACTGACATGTTGCGCCCCCTCTGTGAGATCCTTCCAATGAATCTTCCGTTATATATGGAATCGGCCGTCTGATGTTCCCTCTGATGATCGCTGGACGCAGATTTGGGTTTTTTTTTCTATATTTATACAATTTAATAAAATGAATCAGTTTTTTTGGTCTTCTCCATTTATTATGTGGGCCAGCAGGTGTCAGTAGAGCTCCGTGGACTTTCACTGGGAGCCTGCCGGCACTATTATATTCTGAGGAGGTGATGAGTTGCTGCAGGTGACACCCGTCTGTCAGTTCGTGACGCGTCTCGGCGCCGGGGCCCCTGCGATACGCCTGCTTCTGTTCCAACGGCCCGTTCAGACTTTTGCAGTAAAAGGCGCATTTTCCTGCCCATTACCGCAACACGCCGGAACTGACGGAACAAATGCAGCGAATGCGCCTTGGCAGGACGTTCTCGAGGGTGTCACCGCGTATCTGGGGGGGGGGGGCAGGGGGGGGGGGTTTCAACTCACGCTGCTTGATGAACCTGCAAAACTGATTTTTTCCAAGCAACAGTGCAGTCCAATAACGCTTTGTAAATGGGCCCCCAGAATGTAAATGGGTGTCCAGAATATAAATGGACCTCTAAAATGTAAATGGGCCCCTAAAGTGTAAATTAACCCCTAAAAATGTAAATGGGCCCCAGAATGTAAATGGGCCCCTAAAGTGTAAATGAACCCCTAAATGTAAATGAACCTCTAAATGTAAATGGACCCCTAAAATGTAAATGGGCCCCTAAAATGTAAATGGACCCCTAAAATGTAAATTGGTCCCCAAACTGTAAATGAACCCCTAAAATGTAAATGGCCCCCAGAATGTAAATGGGCCCCTAAAGTGTAAATGAACCCCCAAAATGTAAATGGCCCCCAGAATGTAAATGGGTCCCTAAAGTGTAAATGGGCCCCTAAAATGTAAATGGGTCCCCAAAATGTAAATCAAACCCCCTAAAATGTAAATGGCCCCCAGAATGTAAATGGGCCCCTAAAGTGTAAATGAACCCCTAAAATGTAAATGAGCCCCCAAAATGTTAATGGGCCCCTAAAATGTGAATGGTCCCCAGAATGTAAATGGCCCCCAAAAGGTAAATGAACCCCTAAAATGTAAATGAGCCCCCAGAATGTAAATGGGCCCCTAAAATGCTCTGCAACTGTTATAAACCCAGACACTGTGTTGGAGATTTGCGCCCGGCGCCCACTCAGCGCCATCGCTCTCCTCCCTCGCCCCTCAGCGCCATCGCTCTCCTCCCTCGCCCCTCAGCGCCATCGCTCTCCTCCCTCGCCCCTCAGCGCCATCGCTCTCCTCCCTCGCCCCTCAGCGCCATCGCTCTCCTCCCTCCCCACTCGCCCCGCTCAGCGCCATCGCTCTCCTCCCTCGCCCCTCAGCGCCATCGCTCTCCTCCCTCGCCCACCAGTGCCCTCAGCCCCCCCTCAGCTCCTCGCTCCCTCCCTCGCCCCTCAGCGCCATCGCTCTCCTCCCTCGCCCCTCAGCGCCATCGCTCTCCTCCCTCGCCCCTCAGCGCCATCGCTCTCCTCCCTCCCCTCAGCGCCATCGCTCTCCTCCCTCGCCCCTCAGCGCCATCGCTCTCCTCCCTCGCCCCTCAGCGCCGCCATCGCTCTCCTCCCTCGCCCCTCAGCGCCATCGCTCTCCTCCCTCGCCCCTCAGCGCCCTCGCTCTCCTCCCTCGCCCCTCAGCCCGCTCTCTCTCCTCCCTCGCCCACTCAGCGCCATCGCTCTCCTCCCTCGCCCCTCAGCGCCATCGCTCTCCTCCCTCGCCCCTCAACGCCATCGCTCTCCTCCCTCGCCCCTCAGCGCCCATCGCTCTCCTCCCTCGCCCACTCAGCGCCATCGCTCTCCTCCCTCGCCCCTCAGCGCCCTCGTTCTCCTCCCTCGCCCCTCAACGCCATCGTCTCCTCCCTCGCCCCCTCAGCGCCATCGCTCTCCTCCCTCGCCCCTCAACGCCATCGCTCTCCTCCCTCGTCCACTCAGTGCCATCGCTCTCCTCCCTCGCCACTCAGCACCATCGCTCTCCTCCCCTCGCCCCTCAGTGCCATCGTTCTCCTCCCTCGCCCCTCAGTGCCATCGTCTCCTCCCTCGCCCCTCAGCGCCATCGCTCTCCTCCCTCGCCCCTCAGTGCCATCGTTCTCCTCCCTCGCCCCTCAACGCCATCGTTCTCTCCTCCCTCGCCCCTCAGCGCCCTCGCTCTCCTCCCTCGCCCACTCAGTGCCATCGCTTCTCCTCCCTCGCCCCTCAGCGCCCTCTCTCTCTCTCCCAGGAAAGACGCCACAAAGCTGGTGATCGATCGATATATTCGCACAGTAGATGGGACACAGAATTGCCAATCACTGGAATCAATACAGCGACATGACCTCACGGAACGCCAGCGCCAACAAACGTACATGAAAGCACAAGGTACGGGCCGACTCCACCTCAGCCTGCATTTCAGTTATGTGTGGAGCCGACTCATTGTCCCAGCCCCTCCCCCCCAGCAGCCATTACTAAGCACAGAAGTCTCACTCCCTCTGCTGCATTCTTTTGTGTAATGGCCGTGGAAGGTGGGAACACTCCCCTGGAAGTCAGAGAAGCCGACCACCGGCATCCACATAAAACTGAAATGGCGGTTCGGGGTGGACTGGCCATTGAAGTAAAGTAAGGCTTTGGGTCGGAGCCTCCTTCAGCAGAGAAGGCCGGGCCCTCCGAAGTGACAGACATATTGCTGATGTGTGGGGGTCCCGTCCCGCTCAGCTGCTGCAAGTCCAGTGGCTCCCCCCTCCCCCCACCGGGTCCCAAAATGCTCCGCAGCAGTCTCAGCCTCCTCGCCTCTAGAGGCAGCAGCCTCCCCCAGCTGGGAATTCGGAGATTGGTAGGCTTCCCTCTCTACTTCTTTAATGAGTCCCAGGAGGAAAGGCTGGAGTCCACGTAGTCCCTCCCCCGAGGAGCACCTGAAAAACACCAGGAAAGGGGCTCATTCGTCAGCCACAGAATGCCGGCCTCCCAGCAGTGCAGTCAGTTGTAGAAGACCTCGTCCTCCGACAGCGAGCTGCTGTCCACGTAGTGGAGCGATTGGTTGAGCCGGGGTTTGCAGGTTTCAGGGGGGACCTCCCCCCCTCCGCCGTCGCCGGCGCTTTGGAGTTGTCCGAGCTGCTGCTTCTGCCACCGTCCACCGGGGGGCACTGGAAGGCAGAGGGGGGCTCCGACACGTCCCATCTATCCATGGGCAGCAGCTGCTGGGAAGTGGCAGCCAAGGACACGGCGGAGGAATAGGAGAGGCCCGGGCAGGCTGCCCCCCAGATCCGAGCCGCAGGCCCCGTGGGCGTAGCTCAGCAGTCGGCTCTGCAGGTAGAAGCTCTCCAGATCTGCGGGGAAAAAAGAAAAGAGAAATACATTGACAATCTCCAGCCACTAGAGGGCGACTCAGAAATATAACTTCCAAAGCTGCTGCCACTCAGGGTCTCTCTGTAGAGCAACATGCTCCGGCATCCTCACCAAGAGGTATAGAGATCCCAGGAAGACGACTTCTATATAGAACCGTCAGGGCTTTATGGTTTTACTGCCCCCCTCCAGAGTACACACAACACGCTCACCTGCCTGGGGTGCTTCTCTATGTCCCATGTGATCCATCCTGTCAAATGTCTACTGTGCGAGATTTACCTTCTCCTGGTCTTGGTGTCACCAAGACAGGAAGTGATGGGAAAATCCACAATATGACAGTTGTCAGGAACCGAATCTTCCAACGGGGACACCTGTTTCGGTAACCGTTGTCCACAATGGGACTTTCCCCACTTTACAGAGATTTATTCTCACTTCCTGTTGTGTCTCCTGGACAGGAAGTGAAGGGAAATCTCCCCAGTGGGACACAGACGAGGAAAAAAAAAAACTCAACAGAGGATTTAATCCTTTCCTACCCAGGGCTTTTCTTTTGGGGGAACGCAGATCCGGCACCTCCAGCACTGAATGTATGTAATGGCAAGGGGTGCTGGAAGGTCTATTGATGCTGGCTGCTGAGGGATCTATTGTCACTGGAGGGGGTCTGTTTTTGCATGGTGGTCTGTTGCTGGTGAGGGATCTATTGCTGCTGGAAGGGATCTACTGCTGAGGGAGGGGTCTGTCATTTCTGGCTGCTGCTGGGGGATCCATTGTTGCTGCTGGGGGATATATTGTTGACGTTAGGGGCACATTGTTGCTGCTGGGGGATCCATTGTTGCTGTCGGGGTCTGGTGTGTTATTATGGCCTATTGTTGCTGCTGGGGGTAAGTTTTTGCTGCTGAGGGTCTATTGTTGCTGCTGGTTGCTCTATTGTTGCTGCTGGAGGTAAATTGTTGCTGCTGGTTGGTCTATTGTTCCTGCTAGGGGTCTGTTGCTGCTGGGAGTCTATTTTTTCTGCTGGGTGTTTATTGCTGCGGCTGAGGGTCTATTGTTTCTGCTGAGGGTCTATTGTTGCTGTTATGGGGCCTATTGTTGCTGCTGTGGGTCTATTGTTTCTGCTGGGAGGTTCTTGCTGCTGCTGCGGTCTATTGTTGCTCCTGGGGGCATGAAGGGGTCCAGACTACGGGTCCATGGGGGGTAATCAGCAGCACCGGGAAGGTGAACGGCGTTTTGTTAAAGGGGAGATCCATCAATGCAGCAGGTGGGGGGCGGGGACAGACACTGATGGATTGTCACGCAGACGGTGTCACTGCCCCCTAGTGGATAGGATGAGGTCAGAGAGGAGAAGCGGGGGATCTTCCTTCCGGGGGGGGGGGGGGGGGGGGGACTATCCGAAACTCTATCCAAAGCTAAAGAAAAAAGTTGGGGGTGGAGTGACCCTTTAAGGACCCCCATTGCGGCTCCTCAGGCTCCCGCCCGCTGCCTACACTGGGTTGGTTCCATTCATCAGGAGCAGAAGGCGCTGCGCGGGCCCAGAGCTTCCCAGGAGGACGCAGCGGATGGCGGTGCCCCGAGGGGCCTGCGGGAGTTCACAGATGGGCCCCATTAATCCTCGCTCTGCCGGCCCATCTTCCATACAGCACACCCTCATAAGGGGCAGGAGTCATGTGACCCGGTGTGCTAATAATAGCCCAGCAGAGCAGATTCCCCGCCCCCCCCCCTTCCCCAGACGATAACCCCTCCACTAGTCACCACTGAAGCGGAAGAGCGCCGTGCGGAGCTTACTAAGAATAGCCGCGTGAGCGGAGCATCATGGGAGAAGCACAACCGGGGAAGATATTCGCTTTCTGAAAATAGGAAACAAAATTGACCGCCATTGTTTCCCTTTTAGAACGTTCCTCCGTAAACCCTTCTCATTGGTGGCTGAGCGGGGGGGGGGGGGGGGCATCCGCTCTCACCAAGCCTGCAGTACCACACAAGGGCCCATCGGCTCCCAACTGACCCACCCACTGCAGCGAACAAATAACTCAATATCCTTTTACCCAGGGCTTTGTATCTCAGAAGATAGGTGCAGGAACCCCGCCCCCCCTTCTGAGTCACCCCTTGTCTCCGCCCCCTACCCACCCCGAGCCCTTCACTTGTCTCCGCCCCCTACCACACCTCCAAGCACCTTCACTTGTCTCCGCCCCCGACCCCCTACCCACCTCCTTGGTTCCAAGCACCTTCACTTGTCTCCGCCCCCTACCCACCTCCGAGCACCTTCACTTGCACCTCCAAGCACCTTCACTTCCACCCCCTACTTGGTTCCACCTCCGAGCACCACTTGGTTCTGACCTCTGAACACCTTCACTTGGTTCCACCTCACCCCCATCGAGCACCTTCACTTGGTTCCACCCTCTACCCACCTCCGAGCACCTTCACTTCCACCCCTACCCTTGTCTCCACCCCTCTACCCACCTCCAAGCACCTTCATTTGGTTCCACTCCCCCTACCCACCTCACCTCTGAGCACCAGAGAACCTAGGTTCCAACACCCACCATCGAACCTTCACTTGTCTCCGCCCCCCACCTCAGCAGTAACCATCAGCATTCACTTTCCCCCCCTACCCAGCAATATAGATCCCACCTACCCCCTCGAGCACCTTCACTTGGTTCCACCCCCTAACCCACCATCGAGCAACAAGTGCCTACCCAGTTAGCACCTTCAATTGGTTCCACCCCCTACCTACCTCTGAACACCCTCAGCAATAATAGACCCACCTCTGAGCACCTTCACTTGTCTCCACCCCCCTACCCAGCACCTTCATTTGGTTCCTCCCCCTACCCACCTCTGAATAGACAATCTCCCAGCAGTAACAGCAGTGCCCCAGTTCTACGCCAGCAATAATAGACCAAAAACAGCAATAATAGATCTCCCAGCAGTTAGCATCAACAGAAGATCCCACCCAGCAACATAACCCCCAGCAACAATAGATCCCCTCCAGTATCAATAGACTCACACAGCAACAAACACCCCCAACAACAATAGATCCCCTCAGTAAATAGACTCACACAGCAGCAAACAAACAACAATAGATCCCCTCCAGTATCAATAGACTCACACAGCAACATAACCCCCCCAACAACAATAGATCCCCTCCAGTATCAATAGACTCACACAGCAACATAACCCCCCCCCAACAACAATAGATCCCCTCCAGTATCAATAGACTCACACAGCAACATAACCCCCCCCCCGGCAACAATAGATCCCCTCCAGTATCAATAGACTCACACAGCAACATAACACCCCCCGGCAACAATAGATCCCCTCCAGCAACAACAGACCTCCAGCACACCCCAGCAGTCCTTGCTATTGATTCATTCCTGGGGTGCCGGAGCTGCTTCCCCCACCCCCCCAATCCCTGGTTTCACCCAATGAGGACGATTCTATGTTATGGCCATTTTGCGATGGTTGGCCCCTAACTGGCAGAGCGATGGAGATATCTGTTACCTTGAAGCTGCCGCATCTCCTGGGAGCCCAACCCATAATGCATCTCTTCATCGTCCAGCGAGGACCAGGCACTCAGGGTGGCTTCAGTGATGGCAAACTGCTCGGCAACCCCTGAAAGAGACAGCAAAGGGTGAAATCTGCCCCGGGGGGGGGCGGCTCTACACAGCTACAGTGCCATTCCCGAACCAGAATCCTTGGTCTGACCAGTCCTGATAGTCCCAGGTGGAGAGTCCCAGGTGGAGAGTCCCAGGGGGAGAGTCCCAAGGAGGGGAGTCCCAGGGGGAGAGTCCCTAGGAGGGGAGTCCCAGGGGGAGAGTCCTAGGAGGGAGGTCCCAGGTGGAGAGTCCTAGGAGGGGAGTCCCAGGAGGGGAGTCCCAGGGGGAGAGTCCTAGGAGGGAGGTCCCAGGGGGAGAGTCCTAGGAGGGGAGTCCCAGCAGGTGGAGAGTCCCAGCAGGTGGAGAGTCCTAGGAGGGGAGTCCCAGGTGGAGAGTCACAGGGGGAGTCCCAGGTGGAGAGTCCCAGGGGGAGAGTCCCAGGTGGAGAGTCCTAGGAGGGGAGTCCCAGGTGGAGAGACCCAGGTGGGGAGTCCCAGGTGGAGAGTCCCAGGTGGAGAGTCCTAAAAGGAGAGTCCCAGGGGGAGAGTCCTAGGAGGAGAGTCCTAGGAGGGGAGTCCATGGGGGAGAGCCCCCGGGGGAGAGTCCCAGGGAGGGAGTCCCTTGGGGGGAGAGACCCCAGGGGAGAGTCCAGGGGGAGAATCCCTCGGGGAGAGTCCCCAGGGGAGAGTCCCAGGTGTCTGACCTAATGGTGAAAAATGCCTCTGGGTGGAGGAAATCTGTAACTGGTTCTGCTCACTTCTACATCTTCCAGCTGTGTCAAAGTGGCAGTTGAAAGGGTAGGTAGGCAGACATGAGGACCGACCAATCACCACATTTCAGACTGTTAAGTGGGACCTAACTCAGTCCCGCCAGCACCGTGCCCTTCTTGCCCCTTAGATGTTCATCCACAGGCAGCCCTGAGATTGATGGGGGGCAGTATTGGGGGTATCTCCATCCACGAGGCTCTGAGGGTGAATACAGGACGTTCCCATCGGCGGGGATCCGCAGAGCTCCATCATCGGGTTCATCTGACATTTATTATCGCAGACGTGAGAAGCAGCTGCACAGCAGATCTGCCCCAGAAATGTGACACTTCCAGGGCCGGGAGGAACCCGGGGGGGGGGGGGGGCAAAATGAGGCCTAATAATCCATGAATCATGAAGATTGTCCGAGGATTCCCCGGGGACGGGCGAGGGGGAGGAATGGGGTCACCCAGGAGAGAGAAGACTGACCGGCAGATGTAACACCAATGATGACCGCCTGCCTGACCTCTGCTCCCTACTGAACCTCTGCCTGCCTGACCTCTGCTCCCTACTGAAATTCTGCTGCCTGCCTGACCTCTGCTCCCTACTGAACCTCTGCTGCCTGCCTGACCTCTGCTCCCTACTGAACCTCTGCTGCCTGCCTGACCTCTGCTCCCTACTGAACCTCTGCTGCCTGACCTTCTCTGCTCCCTACTGAACCTCTGCTGCCTGCCTGACCGTCTCTGCTCCCTACTGAACCTCTGCTGCCTACCTGACCTTCTCTGCTCCCTACTGAACCTCTGCTGCCTGCCTGACCTTCTCTGCTCCCTACTGAACCTCTGCTGCCTGCCTGCCTGCTTGCCTGACCTTCTCTGCTCCCTACTGAACCTCTGCTGCCTGCCTGCCTGACCTTCTCTGCTCCCTACTGAACCTCTGCTGCCTGCCTGACCTTCTCTGCTCCCTACTGAACCTCTGCTGCCTGCCTGACCTTCTCTGCTCCCTACTGAAACTCTGCTGCCTGCCTGACCTTCTCTGCTCCCTACTGAAACTCTGCTGCCTGCCTGACCTTTTCTGCTCCCTGCTGAACCTCTGCTGCCTGCCTGACCTCTGCTCCCTACTGAACCTCTGCTGCCTGCCTGACCTCTGCTCCCTACTGAACCTCTGCTGCCTGTCTGACCTTCTCTGCTCCCTACTGAACCTCTGCTGCCTGCCCTCCATGATCTCTAGCTGGTCATGGTCCTGGTCATGGTCATCCTCTTCAGGTGTGGTCATCTGGTGGAGGAACATTCTGCGCCCCCCACGCTGTGTTGGCCCCGCGTACCGGCTGCAAATCGCGCCTCCTTCAGCTCATCGGTGAGATCGGAGTAATGCTCCTCATCGGTCAGCGAAGGTTCCCAGCCGGACTGGGGGGCGCTCCAACCCTTCCACTCTATCAGGTGGGCCACTCGTCCCCGAGCCATGGCTGTCGGCTTGGTGATGTGATCCTTGATGGTCTGAACCAAACCTGGGAACCGGGAGAAAGGACATGTGAGAGATCGATCGTTGTATGTGAGAGATCGATCGTTGTATGTGAGGGACCGATCGTTGTATGTGAGGGACCGATCGTTGTATGTGAGAGATCGATCGTTGTATGTGAGAGATCGATCGTTGTATGTGAGGGACCGATCGTTGTATGTGAGAGATCGATCGTTGTATGTGAGAGATCGAGGGACCGATCGTTGTATGTGAGGGACCGATCGTTGTATGTGAGAGATCGATCGTTGTATGTGAGGGACCGATCGTTGTATGTGAGGACCGATCGATTGTATGTGAGAGATCGATCATTGTATGTGAGGGACCGATCGTTGTATGTGAGAGATCGATCGTTGTATGTGAGAGATCGAGGGACCGATCGTTGTATGTGAGGGACCGATCCTTGTATGTGAGGGATTGATCGTTGTATGTGAGAGATCGATTGTTGTATGTGAGGGACCTATTGTTGTATGTGAGAGATCGATCGTTGTATGTGAGGGACCAATCGTTTTATGTGAGAGATCGATCGTTGTATGTGAGGGATCGATTGTTGTATGTGAGGGATCGATCGTTGTATGTGAGAGATCGATCGTTGTATTTGAGAGACCGATCGTTGTATGTGAGGGACCGATCGTTGTATGTGAGGGATCGATCGTTGTATGTGAGAGATCGATCGTTGTATGTGAGGGACCGATCGTTGTATGTGAGAGACCGATCGTTGTATGTGAGGGACCGATCGTTGTATGTGAGAGATCGATCGTTGTATTTGAGAGACCGATCGTTGTATGTGAGGGACCGATCGTTGTATGTGAGGGATCGATCGTTGTATGTGAGAGATCGATCGTTGTATGTGAGAGACCGATCGTTGTATGTGAGGGACCGATCGTTGTATGTGAGGGACCGATCGTTGTATGTGAGGGACCGATCGTTGTATGTGAGAGACCGATCGTTGTATGTGAGAGACCGATCGTTGTATGTGAGAGACCGATCGTTGTATGTGAGGGACCGATCGTTGTATGTGAGAGATCGATCGTTGTATGTGAGGGACCGATCGTTGTATGTGAGGAACCGATCGTTGTGAGAGATACCCCCTTCAACCCCCCCTGTACAAATCCCCTCCCCCTGTACAAATCCTCCCCCCTCAACCCCCCAACCTCCAGCACAAATCCTCCCTCAGCTCCCCCCTCCCACCACAAATCCTCTTATTAACCCCCATCCCCCCTCCCAGCATGAATCCCCCCTCCCAGGACAAATCCTCCCCAATTCAACTCCCCCCAGCATAAATCCTCCCCTTTACCCCCCCTCGTAGCACAGATCCCACCCCTCAACCCCTCCCACCTCCAGCACAACTCCCCCCTCCCACCACAATTCCTCTTATTAACCCCCCCCATTACTCCCCCCCCCCCGCCCACTAATCTTTGTTAACTGCTCCACCCCCTTTGGGTCAGATGCCCCCCCAGTCCCTTCCCCCGGTTCCTCCTCCTCTTGCAATGGCAGCTGCTGCAGAGGGCAGGATGGGGGTGCTAGAGAGACTTGGGGCAGGTCCCCGGGGGGAGGGGCATTTGTGGTGGAACATGTCCTGGCACTGGATCCGCAGGGAGCCGGGACTTTGCTGAATTCTCGGGACAGTCCTGCAGAGTCCAGGATAGTCGGGAAGTTTCATTTTGCCCCTCTAAGAATTGTGCGCCCAGGAAAATGGTCCCTGTGGCCCCGCCCACATCACACCACTGGAGGATGGCCCCGCCCCATCTCCGACCTAGGAGCCGGTTGTGGCTCTTCTATCATGGCCATTCATTGGTCCATGTTGGACCATCTATGGTGGGCTTCTATGGACCTCTGACCAGGGTCGGGCTGGGGGGGTCTTCTCCCTCCCATAGGGACATGATTCCATATTTCCGTGTTTTACAAACCTCCTGACATGCGGGCCCCGGAACGTTCAGTTTGTGGAAAGGCGAAGGGGCCCAACGAGGGTCAGAAGTGTGCGGTTTCCACAGAAACGGTCATCAAATCGCTCTCAAGATCCGAGCTAATTACTGGAATGTCTGCAAGTGGGAGACCCTCCAACCCCCCGCCGGCGGCTGCATACAGATCCCAGAATTAGCCCATGATTGGGGAGAAGACAACCGGAACCCCGGCGGAGGCCTACCGGGGCCACAATGTGCCGACGTGTCCCTGACTGATATCACCATGATTGGGGAGAAGACAACCGGAACCCAGGCGGAGGCCTAGCGGGGGCCACGATGTGCCGACGTGTCCCTGACTGATATCACCATGATTGGGGAGAAGACAACCGGAACCCCGGCGGAGGCCTACCGGGGCCACGATGTGCCGACATGTCCCTGACCTATATCACCATGATTGGGGAGAAGACAACCGGAACCCCGGCGGAGGCCTAGCGGGGCCACGATGTGCCGACATGTCCCTGACCTATATCACCATGATTGGGGAGAAGACAACCGGAACCCCGGCGGAGGCCTACCGGGGCCACGATGTGCCGACATGTCCCTGACTGATATCACCATGATTGGGGAGAAGACAACCGGAACCCCGGCGGAGGCCTAGCGGGGCCACGATGTGCCGACATGTCCCTGACCTATATCACCATGATTGGGGAAAGACAACCGGAACCCCCGCGAGGCCTACCGGGCCACGATGTGCCGACATGTCCCTGACCTATATCACCATGATTGGGGAGAAGACAACCGGAACCCCGGCGGAGGCCTACCGGGGCCACAATGTGCCGACGTGTCCCTGACTGATATCACCATACCGGAACCCAGCGGAGACCTACCGGGGCCACGATGTGCCGACGTGTCCCTGACTGATATCACCATGATTGGGGAGAAGACAACCGGAACCCAGGCGGAGGCCTACCGGGGCCACGATGTGCCGACGTGTCCCTGACTGATATCACCATACACCCCCTGGAGGCGGCCACATACACTGCGTCACTCACCGATCAGAGATGAGGTCGCCAATTCTGTGATGTCATAGCTGACCGAATTCGATTTGGATTCGCACATCAAGCCGTTGGGGGTCTTAAAACATTTCTGTAAAAGAATCAGAAGACGGCAGAGGTTAGTTCAGGGTGATCGATCGCTGATCAATGATCGATCAATAACAACCACCCAACGGGTCACCGACCTTCCGTGATCAATGATCGATCGATAACAACCACCCAACCAATCACCGACCTTCCGTGATCAATGGAGCCGGAGAAAGAGAGGATATCAGATAGAAAGGAATGCCGAGGTTTTCCCTCACATGGAACCCTAACACTGATCCTCACGGGACCCCAACACTGACCCTCACGGGAACCCCAACACTGACCCTCACGGGAACCCTAACACTGACCCTCATGGGACCCCAATGCTGACCCTCACGGGACCCCAACACTGACCCTCACGGGACCCCAACACTGACCCTCACGGGACCCCAACGCTGACCCTCACGGACCCCAACGCTGACCCTCACGGGACCCCAACGCTGACCCTCACGGGACCCCAACACGCTGACCCTCACGGGACCCCAACGCTGACCCTCACGGGAACCCTAACACTGACCCTCACGGGAACCCTAACACTGACCCTCACGGGAACCCTAACACTGACCCTCACGGGAATCCTAACACTGACCCTCATGGGACCCCAATGCTGACCCTCACGGGACCCCAACACTGACCCTCACGGGACCCCAACACTGACCCTCATGGGACCCCAACGCTGACCCTCACGGGACCCCAACGCTGACCCTCATGGAACCCCAACACTGACCCTCACGGACCCCAACACTGACCCTCACGGAACCCCAATGCTGACCCTCATGGAACCCTAACACTGACCCTCACGGGACTCCAACACTGACCCTCACGGGACCCCAATGCTGACCCTCATGGAACCCTAACACTGACCCTCACGGGACCCCAATGCTGACCCTCACGGGACCCCAATGCTGACCCTCACGGAACCCCAACACTGACCCTCACGGACCCCAACACTGACCCTCACGGGACCCCAACGCTGACCCTCATGGAACCCCAATGCTGACCCTCATGGAACCCCAATGCTGACCCTCACGGGACCCCAATGCTGACCCACTCACGGGACCCCAATGCTGACCCTCATGGAACCCTAACACTGACCCTCACGGGACCCCAACACTGACCCTCATGGAAACCCCAATGCTGACCCTCATGGAACCCCAATGCTGACCCTCACGGGACCCCAATGCTGACCCTCACGGGACCCCAATGCTGACCCTCACGGGACCCCAACACTGACCCTCACGGGACCCCAACACTGACCCTCACGGGACCCCAACACTGACCCTCACGGGACCCCAACACTGACCCTCACGGGACCCCAACACTGACCCTCATGTGCCGCTCTGCTCAGTAGCCAATCAGCTTCCTGGAGTTATTGTCGAACCTTCGTTGAAGAAGCTGAAGTTAGAAGCTGATTGGTTCTTCTCTGGGCTCCAGTTTTAGTGAATCTCCCCCATAAAGAATCTCCGGGGGGTCTGCACACAGCGGGAATCATTGACATGAACACTGCATTGCTGGGAATCAAACAATCCCCCCCCCCCCCCCCCCAAGGTCGGCTCTCTTGGGGATCCTCACTGTGGGGATTCTGCTCTGGAGATGTGGAGAGGGGCCACAATGAGGGCTTATGGAGAGCTTCTCCCATCACATGAGCGTTCCTTTAGTTCCCTGCACCCCTCGTGTCCCTCATCGGAGGTGAAGCCACTAAACCTTCAGATGCTGCGGGGGGCACTGCAGGGGACGCTGTGGGGGGGGGCATTGTGGGGGATGCTGCGGGGTACACTGTGGGGGACGCTGCGGGGTACACTGTGGGGGACACTGCAGGGGGCGCTGCGGGGGACGCTGTGAGGGATGCTGCGGGGGGACGCTGTGGGGGACGCTGGGGGGTACACTGTGGGGGGCACTGCGGGGGGCACCATATTCCATTCAGCAGGCTGCCTGCACATGAACACACAAGGGTCCCAACAGTATATGGCAGCTGAAGTCACTTGCAGATCTTCACTTCTCCTGTACAATCCAGGCTGAGCCCAAACCTCCCATTTCCCTTTATTATGACGGACAGCCCCAGTGACCAATAGGGAGGAAGGGGCGGGACCTGGCCGGGCATTAATAGGAGGAGTGCTGATCTGCACATGACTTCAGCCGCCTGTCTGGATCCGGTGATGACATTCCGTTCAGTCTGCATGGCCCAAATCCCATCAGTTGCACACCAATCCGTCTGGTTCAATCCCCGCCCCCCCCATCCGTCCAGCCCCTCTGGAGGACTCACCTTCCCCAGGACATCCTCATCCTCCTCTTCCTCATCCTCCTCTGGGCTCTCGGTGGGGGCAGCGCCCTCCGGTGGTGGGGGGATTTCTTCGGCCGGCGGGGGGTTCGCTGGTTTGGTGTTCTGATTGGACAGTTGGAACTCTTTGTGACCGCTGAAGAAGAATTCTGAAAGAGAGGAAAAGTTCGATGGAGGTTTACTGAGCGACTCGTGTCCTCGCCTCGTCCCAAGAGCTGACAGTCTGCAATGTGGAATCCACTGATACCTTCAATCAATTGATATTAAAGTGGACCTGTCAGTGTTCCGTCTCCATGACTACAGTCCTGACGTCCCCATAGAGGATCATCACCCACATCTAATTGGCAGTGACTGCGCCTAGGCTGGGGTGATGTCATCAGTCTGCTGCAGGCAGGAGCAGGAGTTTCCTCAGTCTCCCCTCCCCCAGTGATCAGACTGTACATTGTAACTTTGTAGAAGTGGGAGGAGGCATTTCCTCAGTCTCCCCTCCCCCAGTGATCAGACTGTACATTGTAACTTTGTAGAAGTGGGAGGAGGCATTTCCTCAGTCTCCCCTCCCCCAGTGATCAGACTGTACATTGTAACTTTGTTGTCTCCCCCATCCCGTGTGTCTGCCCCTCCCCCTCGTCTCCCCCATCCTGTGTCTCTGCCCCTCCTCCCGTCTCCCCCATCCTGTGTCTCTGCCCCTCCCCCCGTCTCCCCCATCCTGTGTTTCTCTGCCCCTCCCCCCGTCTCCCCGTGTCTCTGCCCTTCCCCCCATCCCTCTGCCCCTCCCCCCGTCTCCCCCATCCCGTGTCTCTGCCCCCCCCCCGTCTCCCCCATCCCCTCTGCCCCTCCCCCTCGTCTCCCCCATCCTGTGTCTCTGCCCCTGTCTCCCCATCTGCTCCCCTTCGTCCCCCCATCTCCCCCATCCCGTGTCTCTGCCCCCCCTCCTCCCGTCCCCCCCTCCCCCCCGTCCCCCCATCCCGTGTCTCTGCCCTTACCCCCAATCTCCCCCATCCCGTGTCTCTGCCCTTCCCCCCGTCTCCCCCATCCCGTGTCTCTGCCCCTTCCCCCCATTCCCCCCCCGTCTCCCCTTCCCCCCATCTCCCCCATCCCGTGTCTCTGCCCCTCCCCCGTCTCCCCCATCCCGTGTCTCTGCCCTTCCCCCCATCTCCCCATCCCGTGTCTCTGCCCTTCCCCCCATCTCCCCCATCCGTGTCTCTGCCCCTCCCCCTTGGTACAGAGCGCTCAGCGGCGTCTCTCCCTCCGGTTGGTACAATGAGGCCGTTTTGTTCCCCTTTTGATGTCACCTCGGAGCTCCATCCATCGCTATGGTAACCAAGCTCTGCGTTCAGCATCGCCGTAACAAAGCTCTGCGGGGGGCGAGCGCCTCCAATAGATGGCGGAGAGGAAGGCGAGACAGTTACCATGGCGACTGAGACACGCTCCAATGAGAAACACACCAAACACACAAACAGCGCACACATGGCGGGGGACCACCAGCCATACCAGGGACCGCCAGACAAGGGACCAGGGACCACCAGCCATACCAGGGACCGCCGGCCATACCAGGGACCACCAGCCATACCAGGGACCGCCGCCATACCAGGGACCACCAGCCATACCAGGGACCGCCAGCCATACCAGGGACCGCCAGCCATACCAGGGACCACCAGACAAGCCAGGGACCGCCAGACAAGCCAGGGACCACCAGCCATACCAGGGACCGCCAGACAAGCCAGGGACCGCCAGACAAGCGAGGGACCGCTGACCATGCCAGGGACCACCAGACAAGCCAGGGACCGCCAGACAAGCCAGGGACCACTGGCCATACCAGGGACCGCCAGACAAGCCAGGGACCGCCAGACAAGCCGGGAACTACCAGACAAGCCAGGGACCACCAGACAAGCCAGGGACCGCCAGACAAGCCGGGGACCGCCAGACAAGCCGGGGACCACCAGACAAGCCAGGGACCACCAACCATACCAGGGACCGCCAGACAAGCCAGGGATCGCCAGACAAGCTGGGAACCACCAGACAAGCCAGGGACCACTGACCATGCCAGGGACCGCCAGACAAGCCGGGGACCACCAGACAAGCCAGGGACCACCAACCATACCAGGGACTGCCAGACAAGCCAGGGACCGCCAGACAAGCCAGGGACCGCTGACCATGCCAGGGACCACCAGACAAGCCAGGGACCACTGGCCATACCAGGGACCACCAGACAAGCCTGGGACCGCCAGACAAGCCAGGGATCGCCAGACAAGCTGGGAACCACCAGACAAGCCAGGGACCACTGATCATGTCAGGGACCGCCAGACAAGCCGGGGACCACCAGACAAGCCAGGGACCACCAACCATACCAGGGACCGCCAGACAAGCCAGGAACCGCCAGGGACCACCAGACAAGCCAGGGGGACCACCAAACCATACCAGGGACCGCCAGACAAGCCGGGACCACTGACCATGCCAGGGACCGCCAGACAAGCCGGGGACCCAGACAAGCCAGGGACCACCAGACAAGCCAGGGACCACCAGACAAGCCGGGGACCACCAGACAAGCCAGGGACCGCCAGACAAGCCAGGGACCACATAACTAGACATCTGTGTTGTGTATTACAATGTAACCGCAGGACTCCAGTACATATCTATAGTATTTAAATCAAAAAAACACACAGCGCCCAGGACCAATCTATTAACAACCAATTATAAGT